CCAGCTAACGATGAGTTCCTTTTATTCAGGAGTTTAGAAAGTCCACATGTACAGCGTCGGACACCACGCACACACCACCTAGACTTCACGGCACTGCTACACACCACGACCCGGCCCAGGGCTTCGCCAGGAAGGTGGGTGGCCAGGTCCCAGCCCCCCCTGCCCACCCCTCTCTGGGGAGGTGTCGGCACGGGTGGGTTCAGCCTCACCCGTGTGTGCTCTCGGGAATAATCCTGGGAAATCCTGCGTCTTGGCGTGGATTAAACACCCCTCACGCAAGTCAAAACAAAGTCATTAGGGAGTCCTGGGTGACACGGGCAGTTACACAAGGGTGTGCTACCAACAAACTGCATGTACAATGTCCCCTTCCAGACACAAAAAGTACCAGTAGAGAGGTTGGGGGGGGCCAAGACTTCCCCCCAGAGCTCGTGGCTCCGTGTGCCTTCTTGTCCTGAACGCGAGCACTAGAGAACCCAGCTACAGCTCATCCACTGAAATAAGGAAACGAAAAGGAAAGGTGGGTGTTGTGTTCCCCACCTGCTTGGGACCCTTCCCAGAGGGGTCCGGTGGGGTGTGTGAAGCACCTTGGAAGCTGCCAGGGGGGCTCCTGCTCTTGTGCTGGCCGGGAAATGCCACCGCTGAGCTCCCCCAGATCCCATCACTCGAGGACCCAGCCTGGCTGGCTGCTCCACGCAGGGACAGAGAAGGTAGAGCCAGTGCCTGTGCTTGGAGCTCCTCCTCACCCAAGGGCTCCCAGGAACGTCTCTGGCAGAGCAGTGGTGATCCACAACGTGTCGTTTGTCCCCATTTCCCTGGCAGGACAGACAGGGAGCCCAGCAGGCAAAAGGGCTCGACCAGGATCCGAGGTGGAGAAAGATTAAAAAAAAACCCGAGAGAAGCACACGGAGATGTACAAATCTGCCACAGCCAGGAAGATGAGCCTTTGATCTCCTGGTGCCTTAAGACCCCTGGAGGAAAGCTCTCCTGGGGGAGCTTGCCCCTCCTCGGGCAGTCTGTCCATCCCACAGTGTTTCCTGGGGCCCAGTGTGGGAGCTCTGCTCCCCGGTGCTGCTGGAGCGCAGGCAGAAAATCATTTACACAATTTGTAAATCATGTGGCAGAGTCCTGGCTGCCTCCCTCCCTGTTCCTACAGAGCCCACTCAAGCTTGCTTTTTTGGTTCTTTTGGTTTTGTTTGTTTTTTTTTGTTTTTTTTTTTTTTTTTTTTAGAAAATCCCCCATTTGAGTCCTTCCAGAAGAAGTCAGCCCCGCACCCCGTGGCAGCTCCTCTTTGGGTCGGCTGGCACGAGGCATCGCCTGCCACCCAGTTATCAGGGCCCTGCAGATGCTAAGCCCCACTCAGGGCTTCTTTTTGCAAAACCTTAATGAGATTTGAAGAAATGAAAGGCTTTGAATATCTGCAGGTGCCAAGCCAGAGCGTGGCTCATCCTGGGTGAAAATGAATACGAGTTTCCCGGCTGGGGGTGAGTGGAGGGGGCTCACCAGTGTGCTGTCTGAAGGCAAGGGTCTGGGGAAAGGTCACAGCTTTTGGATGGCCAAAGTCCGGGGTGAGCCCGAGTGGGTCTGGTTGGGAGGGAAGAGCTGCAAAATGCAGGCAGAGCTGTGCTGGGAATCAAGCCTTCCTCACCTCCTCTTCCTCCTCCTCCTCCTTGCTGTGCTCCCCGTTTCCCCAGCGCTGCCAAATCAGCTCCATGCCATGCTCCATTCCGGGGGTGTGTCCTCACAGCACCGTGCAGGCTGTCTTTGGGGTGCCCTGACCTGCCGAGATGCTCCAGGAGCCAGGACAGGGATAGCAGGGACGAAGGAGTTCCTAGCTGTCCCTTTCCAGCTGCATTGCTCTGGCAGGGGGAGAGGCGAGTGGTTTGCAGAGAGGAGAAGGAATCTCTGGCACAGTCTGGCATCTGCATGGGCTGAACCCAGCCGAGCCCTCCCCGTCACCAGTAGCACCATGGGGTGAGCTGGAGCTGTGGAACAGCAGCCTTGTCCCAGTCCTGGGGGCTCTGTGGGATTTGGGGTCCCCCAAGATAAGGGTATCCCAGTCACTTGCCGTGTTGATGAGGGCACTGCTGGGTGTCTGTGTCCAAAGTGGAGATGAGGAGAGGTGTCAAGTGTCCCCAGGCTGCTGCATCCCTTCCTTCCTCCCTCCAGGGAGCCCTTTCTCTTCCTTGCTGGACCCTGCTGGGCACCGCTCCCCAAATCCCCACATCCCACTGCCCTCTCTGCCACAGCTGGGGTACCAGCCGTGGGTCATGCTCCAGCCAGAAGACCCATTTTGGCTGCAGGGGAGCCATGGCAGTAGGAAGCAAAGGTCCAGTGATGTCCGCGGGTGCCACCCTTGCCAGGGGCAGATGCTCCTCAGGGGCCCCTCGAGGATGGGCCAGCCCTTGGGGAGGACGGGGAGGATGGCAGCTGAGGGGACAGGGCTGTGGGGTGGTGGGTTAGGGCAGGGGTCTGGGCACAGGGTGGGGAGCCTCATGCCATCCAGCTAATTCTCCTCCCGGACAGGCCGGATCTTCATCTCGGTGAACTTGAGGGAGTACTGCCAGCCGGTCCAGGAGGACCACTCGATGCCGTCGGCGTAGGAGCTGTGGTGGCCCTTGAGGTACTGCCCGTTGAGGTTGGAGGTGTGGCAGTTGCGGTACCACCAGGCGCCGTGGTAGAAGGCTGCACAGTTGTTCTCCGAGTGGTCGTTGTCCAGGTCCTTGGTGGTGAACTTCATCCCGTTGTGCTTCAAGAAGGAGTCGCCTGCCCCGGGGGAAAGCCGTTGTCGAAGTCCTCCAGGTCCACGCGGAGCTCGTAGCTGCCCTGCACCGTCAGCACGTGGATCCGCTTCAGCCCTGCGGCAGAAGGGGGGTGAGCGTGGGGACCCCCGCGGGGATGGGGGGCGGCAGGGCCCCGGGGAGGGGGTT